TTTTTTTTTTTTTTTTTTTTTTTTTTTTTTTTTTTTTTTTTTTTTTTTTTTTTTTTTTTTGCAGACCATACGTTGGCGATTTTATTGCTAATGACCCACAAAGGAGGCTTGACCTTATAAAGCCAAGATTACCTAATGGGGAGTGTCCACCCGGCTTTCTTGGCTTTGCTGTTAATATGATTGATATTGATAGCATGCACATATTTTGTCTCGCAGCCAATGGATATGGTCTCAGGGAGACCCTGTTCTATTCTCTCTTTTCTCGTCTTCAAGTATATAAAACCAGAGCAGACATGCTACAAGCTCTCCCTTGCATTAGTGATGGTGCACTTTCTTTAGATGGAGGGATAATTAAGGCTACTGGTGTTTTTTGCTTGGGCAACCAGTATGAAGCTCTCTTTCAAAATTGTATTTCAATTTTGTCTGAATCATTTAGTAGACCATGCCTTACAGTTTAATTTCTTTTTCATTTGTTAATTTCTTTTTTCAATTAATCTGATTTTTTTTTTTTTTTTTTGCTCAAATGTTTAAGATTCCAAGCGATAATTCTGAAATGTCGTCTATCTTTTTCCAAAAATCCTTCAGTCACTACTTTATAATGTGCTTTGGTCTCTTACATTTACTGAAACAAAAATTGGATTTCTGTTATGGCTTGTGGACTTATATTTGTTGTTCACTTAAAAGTTTGGATTTTATCGAGTGTTAATCTCATTTTTTGTTTGTTTGATGACAGGGAAGATGTTCAGTTGAGATTCCCAAAGGCCTCAATGAAATCAAGCCTTCCTGAAAACTACATTGAATCTGCGAGGCAGATTAAAGAGCTCAAGTGGAAAAAGGAAAAGATGATTGAAGATATAAAGAGAGAACATGCGTTGTTGGACAATTCTAAGCTCAATTTTGACAGGAAAAAGGCAGAGTTTCTGAAGTTCCTGGCTGAAAGCTCATCATACGCAGCTCAGGTGAGATCTAAAATCCTTTGATTCGGAGATAAAGGTGTAGGCTTAAAATGTTCTTAAACCACAACATTTCAAGTGAAGTATATTGAATTTGTTTCTTTTTGGAGATTTTGACTGTCCTACTTCTCCCTTTTTTTATTCTCTTCTGTTGAGTAAATGTAGCAGTCTATTGAAGTGGTGAACTCAATTATTAATCTTCTATTATTTATATTCTTTTTACTTCTACAAATTCATTCATTGAAAAAAAGGCGGTGGAAGGGGAATCCCTTGCCCAACTAGAGCTTACAGAAACACCCCAATCAAGATTGGTGAGAAAAACTTCTAAAATTGCAAAGAAAAATTCCTCATGACCTCTCTTCCTTCCCTTCGTCTCAACGTAGTACCCCCTTTAACATACTCTCTGATTTTTAGTTTCGGCTTCCATGGCATTAATCCTCAATCATCGAACCTCCAGAGTTACTCCAACCAATCCATTTCCATTGATAGAAAATATTTTACCATCACTTTTGACAAACACTAGCGAGGAGAACGAGCAAAAATCGTGGAAAGTAGTCATACCTTCACCCAATCAATCTCACTGTCTAGGAATTCCTTTCAATGGCTTGGATCCTCCTTTGATACTATGGTGCATCAACTCTGTTCCTTCTAATTCCTCAAAGAACTTCGAGGTAACAACTATTTCCTCGAAGTGAAGGAACAAAGTTGGATACTTTGTTGAATTGATCCAGATTGACCAAAATGGAAACAGAAAACGTCTTTAATAGTTTCTCTAGATCTATCCATCTTTGGTAAAAAAGACTTCATCACTTATCTGAACCCAAGTGAAAATCTACGAAAAGCCCCACCGACCTAGTTTCTCTAGACCTATCCATCTTTGAGGAACCTCAGCCTTTACCCATCAACCCAATGCCATCCTCCCTAATACAACTAGTAGACCCTCAACTGATGATGGTTTCACTTGAAATTGTTTGTACTTCTAC